GCAGGAAGAGAGACAGAATTTAAGCTTTCAGAGAATTTACTTGGGAAATGGGGGACATTGTGAGAAAAATCCTGGATCTGAAGGGCAGTCAGGACTACTGCAACCACTGAGGCTGCATTCTTCTTCAGATCAACCTTTTCACTATAACCACCATTCCTGCCAGAAACCCTCACAATACAGAGGATGACCAGAGTAATCAGTATAAGCATAATTGCCATTGAGGAGCTCACCTGGAGATGAAACTCCCAGAGCATTAAGAGATCAGGAAAAGGAAACCAGATTCAGAGGTTGAGATCTTTGGGGAAATGTTTTTTCTTTCTCTTGAGGGGAAATGTCCCATTGGTACCAAAATGAAATCAAGAACTTTCTAAAATATTTTTTACTGCGTTACTTGGAAAAGAAAGAAACATCAGAGTGGCTCCACCTACTTCCTCCAGGGCACAAAGGAAGATCAAGCTACTCACCAGTGCCAGCGTTAATGGTAGCAGGAGCACTTTCCCTGTCTTGTCTCACTGCTGTCACTCCAATGCCATATTCAGTTCCAGGCCTCAAGCCTAAGAGATGACAAATAGAAATATGAGTTCCTGTTCATAGAATACACCTACAGGCATTTAGTTAAATAAGGAAATCTGAATGTATGCAAGATAAGATATATGCTTTCATTGGATGCAGAGAATAGATGTTTCAGTTGACCATCCATCTGACCTGACTTCAAGAAATCTTTTTCCATGTACATGTCAAAGGATAAAGGTAATGGCTGACTGAGATTGCATTTTGGACACTGAGCAAATGCATAATCAGAGATATTTTCTGCTTCCAAGAGCTTGCAGTATAGGTACTTCTGCCAAAGAAAAGCAGGTAGACATCCATATGACATGGAGAAAGTACCATTATCTAGCTTTGCAGGTGGGTAAGGCAACTTGCAGGTACACAGAAAAGTTGCAGACTGGCATCAGTAAATACCAGCCCTAGCACATGCAAAAGCCTTTTGAACTCAGGGCTGTGGAGCCATCTCTACAAAGGCACGTAGCCACCTAGAACTCAGGGAACTGATTAGTGGGATTCAGAGATGCATATGAAAGAGAAATGGCTACACACCTTCTGTTGGCCAGTTATCCAGCTGCGGGTATAAATATACATCATGTATTTTAATTTAACTACTTGTACTCAAAATGTGTAACCTCTGCTTGTGCCTCTTATGTATAATGACCAAAAGGCCACTTTTTCACTACATTACTGTGCTCTAGAGTGATGACAGCAGCATGACATTAACGACAATCTCTCCATTCCCCTACCTGTGAGTGTAGCTCTCGTTGTTGCTTGGTTGCCCTTTGGCACTGTGATCTCAGCATGGTCTCCACCAGAGATGGGAGCAAACTTAATTCTATAGTTATCAACATTTGCGTGGCTGTTTTTCCACTCCAAAGTAATGCTGTTGTCTGTCTGTGCCACCCGCTTCAGGTTTCTTGGAGCATCCAAGTCTGTAATCAATTACCCAATAAATAAATAAATAGGAATAATTCTCTTATGACAGCAGTTTCTTATGACAGAACTTTTTAGAAGGTGAAATTATCCATAAAGCTGAAGTTTGGTTTCCTTTAATGTGATACCGTTATGTTCTTAACTACATCAAGCAGATTTTCTTTTGGCATGAAGTGGAGAGTTCATTAGCTTTGGGAAAAAATCAGTGGAAGAAATTCAACTTTTGTCTCCTGAGACAAAAGTAAGATTTTCAATTTTAGTAATTATTTTTTATTTCAAAATAGGCTTGTGGAAAAAACATATTTGGATTAAAATACTATTTTTCCTTTATAAATACATCAGGTTTCAAAAGGAAAAAGGCTGCTAGGAAAAGATATTTGATCATCTCCAGAAGCTTTGTTCAATATATATCTTGCATTCATGTCTGAAAAGAAGTCTAAGACTCAAAACAAAAGCTGAATATTATGTAGAAATTCAATGGGCTTTCACTGTTCACACCTATAGCAGACTTAAATCCTGTTCTGAATGAACAACTACATTTCGGGATGAAAAAGGAGGTAGTTTTCCAGGTACTGCTTACTCAGCTCCCTTAATGCATCAAACCTTGATAACATGCTAAAGGACCCACACTTTCAAAAAACATTCCCAGGATCACTAAGAAGCAAAGTAAATTTATAAAAGCATGAGAGAACACATTTGCAGAACTGAAGAAGGAAAAAAGCAAAGTTTTCTGCCAATCTGCCACACATTTAGACAAACAAAAATAAGGTCTTAGGTGGAATAGGAACCATGGAAGATATTTAGCTCAGCAGACAGACAAGTAATCCAGAGGAATTTGATTCCTGAAGTAGAGATTCAGGGTACGATGAGCAAAAGCTTCTGAGTGACTTAATAACATAATTCTCATTTTTAAAATACATTTACATATTTGGGGGAGGTCTAAATATTTTGTTGAGCCAAGTAAGGCATAAAATACACAGAAGATATTCTCCATTTTCAGGTACCTCATTGCTGATTCTGTGTCAATGCAGTAACTATCAACTCAAGCAACATGAAGCAAATAGTGCAGCAAGATTGATGGTGACTGCATTACCTTCCCAGAAGTTTGGATTGGTATCCAAACCTCTTACCTGTGACAAAGACTTCTTTCATGGGGTCGCTTTCCATGTCCCCTCGACGAGAGACGAGTGTCACTTCATACTCTGTGTGTGGCCTCAGGTTTCCGATAGAATATTGGTTTTCATCTTCAGAGAGGTCAATGGTTGTCCTGTCCCCTGGAATATCCTTAGGGCCATAAGTGAGCTCTATACCTTCAATTTCAGCCAAAGGTTTGGACCATGTGATAAGAGCTGTGGTGTCTGTGACATCTTTTGCCTCAATCTGGCTAGGGGCATCAAGCTCTGTTACAAAGAGAAAAAAAGGTGTCTTTTTAAAGAAATCTTGACAGAAAAATCATACACATTCTTGTGCTTTTAATTGTTGATTCAGACCAAAATTAAAATGAGTGGCTTCTACCAGCTTAAACTTAGCTTCATTTACTTTCTTCTTTTACTTTCTATAGGTTTAGAAGAAAGTGCCAAATGTAGTCAATTCATCAGAAGCAAATTCATCAAAATTCATTAACATCAGAAGTTACCAAAAGAAAGACAAGCAGGAAACCTAAGAGGTTCTCCATCTGCAAATAGAAACTCTCCTTTAAATAATTTCTTCATGCAAATATCACCAGGATGAAAGAAATCCTAGTTCTTGTTGAGGTACATTTGGGAAAGGAACTTAAGTGCATACTCCTTGCTATCTTCTAAGTAAACATAAATTTACTTTCTTCTTCAAACAGGTAATTTGGAAAGGAATTAGTTTCTACTCATGTATATTCTTCAGTAGCAGCTCCACTACTTCCTTTACCCCCACTATCAATTCACAGTGGAGACTTGGCTTTCTAGTTGTTTAAAAACTCCCCAGGCTCCACCAAACAGCAGTTTGGTGGCACCACACCACACCAAACACAGGTTGTGCTTACTTGTGGTTATCACTTTGGATAGTCCTGGTCCTCTGGTATTGTTTTTCACTATATGAAGAGATACATTATACTGTTGTCCTGGTGCCAAACCTGGCTGCATGTAAGATGTCTCTGGCCTTTTCAAGCTGCTGGTTATATCTCCATTATCATCCTTTTTCTGTAACACATGGAACAATCAGTTAGTATAAAAAAATCCAGGATATTTCATTTATATATGGCCTCTATTCAAGAAACACTGCTTCCTTACGATATTACGGAATACCAGCTCCCAGCCATCAAATGAAAAGTTCAGAGGATCCCACTCCACCTGGACAGACGTTTCTCTAACAGATTTGAATTTCAGACCTTCTGGAGCAGGCAGATCTGTGACAGAAAAAAATGACATTATATGAAAAACAAGTTCCCATAAATAGGGCACTGGGGGTAGGACATCTTTCCACCACTATAAATATCTGCCATGTAGGTATCTGCATACGAGATGTTTAAACCCTCTTCATAGCCAGTTATTCTGTTTTTGGAGAGATGTTCCTCTGACCTGTTTTAGATGTCACATTAGAATAAAAAGAATTTTGCCACAGAAATCTCTTTTTTTGCCCTCTTTAAAGAAGTGTAGTGAGGACATCTGAAGTTAGGTGAGATGAATTCTGCCCCAGGTCTCTAAAAATGAGCACAGTGACAGAAGCCAAGAAGCATCTTTGGAAGCTAGAATGTTTAGATATGGCTATGGTGTGCACAACAGAAAAAGGAAGATGAACAACAGATGAACAGACAGATAGATAGAAAGTAAGTTGTGGTAAAACACACTGAAGATGTAAAACAAATAAAACCTCCATTTTAGTCAAAACAGTTTGAACCCAAGTGATTTCATATTGCTTTTACCTGCTGATGCATTTTTATATTTTTTCAGGAAGCATTATTAGATTTTCAAAATGTATGTTGCTACGAAGAAACCAAGGGTCTTAATCAAAAAGACCTCATGATATTCATTGGCAAGCACTGCAGAGATCAGAAGAGCTAGTGAGCTGTACTTTTAACACAGTCATTGGTTTTGGAAAACAATAGAAAATGAAAGTGCAGAAGGCTGTCTTTGTCCAGAACAGAAGATGAACTGAAAATAGAAAATACAAAAGAAATAATGCCCTAATAAAGGGATGTAAATAATACATCTAGACAAAAGAATGAATACAGGGGATGAACTGAAAATAGAAAATACAAAAGAAATCATGCCCTAATAAAGGGATGCAAAGAAATCCATATTATGGAATAGACAAAAGAATGAATACAGGAAATATTGAACTCACATGTTGCTATCCTGGCACTGACTGGAATACTCTTCTTGTTTTTAAGGACTGCAAAGACACGGATAAAATATTCTACACCTGGTTCCAGCTCATGAATAGTGGCAGCTGTCTGGTTTCCTGGCACAGTGAACTGCATATCTAAGCCACCACTGCTGGTAGGGACGTAGGTGATGAGGTACTCATTGACGAGATTCTCGTGCTTCCATTCCAGATTTACAGTTTTATCTGTTACGTTTGTCACAGTCAGTTCTGTTGGAGGAGACACTAAGAAGGGGAAAAAAAACCCAAAACATATTTACAAGAAGTTTTCAAGGCCTAGAAAATAATGACTTACCCAGTTTCACATTTTCCCAGGAGCAGTTTATAAGATTCATCTAACAGGGAATGGGGAAGCCATGTCACACAAATTAGCCACTTAAAGAAAGGAATGTTCTGCTGATGAAGACTACAGACATTTCCAAAAGTCATGGGCCAATTTCTACTCATACACTTGCACACAACCTATGGTTGACTGTGTTCCAGCTCCTTCTCTCATGGCTACTGGGTCTCTAGGGATTCAGATGTTTAATTTGATTGCCAGCAGCACAGGATTTTATAGCTGAAAGTACTGGGGTTTGGATACCCAGAATTGCATAGACTTTCCAAAGTCAAATAAAACATGATTATTTTTGTTAATACTTTCAATAAGTTACTTCACATTTGCACACGCAGGAGCGCAAAATGTGGTTTAAGAGTCTTCCAGAAGGAGGAGATGAAAAACAGGAATCTACTTTCAAGGATATTCATTGTGTTTTATAATATTCCCAACCCCAAAGTACTCCTTGATTACTCTACAAAGATCTTCGTTCCCAAGTTTCTCCCCTAGGATCTACTCAAGAAAACTACCTGCTTTACAGTGTAATGTCTGTCATTATCCAGTTGCCAAAATTTTTAACGATTTCCATAGAGTCAATGGTACTGGGAAACTAAGAACGTGGCTTTATAGCTAAGTTTCCACTCCAGCTGATTCCATGATTTTACTCTAATGTAACACACACACACACGTATATACATATACATATAAAAATATAAATCAAGCTTTACTTTGGTTAGAAAAAATCATTTGGCCAATTGAGAGACAGCCAAAGCCCCTGTAATAATCCTGAAAGCTTCCACTGCAATATTTGCAACATCTGGCAATGCCATCATGACAGTTGTCTCATACAGATCACTCCAACGTGATTTTCTGTGTATGCCTTGCCTCCATGACACCCTCTGACTCCACCAGGGCTCCAGCTCAGAGATCTACCTTCAAAGAGATGTGGCTGAGCCCTTGGCCTGTGTCAGTGCCGTGTGTTTCATTTTTTCCTCCTACAATAATTATGGCATTATAAATGTAAACCCCTTTCTTACCCATCCAGCATGAGACTGGGAACCAGAACCTGGCTACAAGAAATATTTGATAACCAGGCATTTTATTCACTGACATTCATACCTACATTACCTCATTCCTGCAAAGCCTTATTCTTTAATCAAAATTCAGTCCATATTCTTTTGACTAATCTTGATGAATACCTAGTAAGAAGACTCTGGATACATCTCCTTCTTCTCCATAGGTAGAACAGTTTCTTTCAGACATATTTTTTTTCAGCATCAAGAGGTACTATGAGAAACTGAAGTGTCATGGTGACAAATCCCAGTCAGTGATAGCTACAGCTCCAGTGACATTGTGGTGGGAGCAAACTTGGAAATAACAAAGGTGCTGCACCACCATTATCAGCTTGTTGGCTTGTTGACCACCAAAAGTCAGCAGCAACCACTACACTATATAGCCCTGAGAAGTAATTGAGGCCAAGAGCTTGCTACTGGTGTTGTTACCTCTCTGATTCAGCTGTTTAGACTGTGACAAAGAACAGTGACAACAGGGTCTAGCTAAATGGAAAATGTTCACAGATCTTCCAAAGCTGCTGGATGGACACAGGGAACTAAGCAGGGAAGCAGTTCAAAAAGGACATTGCAACCTACCATTGGAGCAGTCATCCCCCATGTAACCTTCCTCACAGACACACCCTCCGTCGATGCAGCGGCCCGCATTGTTGCAGTCATTGGGGCAGGACTGTTCACGGCAGTCCTCCCCCGTGAAGCCCTCGTGGCACACGCAGCGCCCATTAATGCAGCGCCCACGCTGGTGGCAGTCGTTGGGGCAGGACAGCTCACCGCAGTCCTCCCCCGTGAAGCCATTGTCACACTCACAGCGTCCTTCCACACAACGGCCACGGTTGTGGCAATCTTCAGGGCACCTCAGCTCCCCGCAGTCCTCCCCTGTGTACCCCTCATCACACACACACTGCCCATTGACACAGAGTCCACGGCTGTTGCAATCATTTGGGCACCGCAGCTCACCACAGTCGTCCCCAGTGAATCCCTCGTGACACACACACTGCCCATTGACACAGCGCCCGCGGTTGTGACAGTCATTGGGGCACCGTAACTCCCCACAGTCCTCCCCAATGAAGCCTTCGTGACACACACACTGCCCGTTGACGCATCGCCCATGGTTGTGACAGTCACTGGGGCACCTCAGCTCCCTACAGTCCTCACCCAGGTAACCCTCGTGGCAGATGCAGCGCCCACCCACGCAGCGCCCACGGTTGTGACAGTCCTTCGGGCACCTCTTCTCACTGCAGTCATCCCCCACAAAGCCCTCGTAGCAGACACACAGCCCATTCTCACAGCGCCCGTTGCCATTGCAGTTGTTAGGGCAGGTCAGCTCCCCACAGTCCTCCCCGGTGAAGCCCTCCTCGCAGAAGCAGGTCCCGTTGACGCAGCGCCCACGGTCAAAGCAGTCATTGGGGCAGATAAGCTCGCTGCAGTCCTCGCCAGTGTAGCCCTCATTGCAAACGCATTCGTTGTCCACGCAGCGTCCACGGTTGTGGCAGTTGTTGGGGCAGAGGGGCTCGCTGCAGTCCTCGCCGGTGAAGCCCTCGTGGCACACGCATTGCCCGCTCATGCACTTCCCATGCACACTGCACCCCTGGGAGCAGAGCTCTTCGCTGCAGTCTGTGCCTGTGTACCCCTCAAAGCACACGCAAACCCCATCCACGCACTTGCCTTGGTCGTTACAGTCAGATGGGCAGGTGGCCTGGCTGCAGTCCTCACCAGTGAAGCCTTCACTGCAGATACATTTGCCCTGGACGCAGAGACCCCGGTTGAAGCAGTTGTGTGGGCAGTTTGGTTCGGAGCAGTTGGGGCCTTTCCAGCCAGGCTCACAAATGCAGCCGCAGATCTCGATGCTGTAATTGCCATGTCCACTGCAATAGGGTGTTGTGTCCAGGCGACCTGTACCAACAATCCAGAAAACCCATTACTCCTCTTGGCTCTGGGATTTGTCAAACCACACACAACCTAAAAGGGATCTGATTTTTCCCAGCTCCCTGCAGGACACAATTTCCAGAATCATCAAAGCTTTTGAATGAGAATTCCTCCTTCTTTCTCTGGTGAGATTTAGTTTACCAGGAATGCTTTAATTTGCACTAATACCAGCGAATAGCCCCTGCCAACGACTTGGTAAATGAGCATGTTGAATTGCTCTACCCTTCTCAAAATCCCTCTTCCACTGACTGAGCAGCTTTCCTGACTGCTTCATTAGGGCATGCACCATGAAGTGTTATTCACTAACTCACTCCAGAACATAATATGTCAAGCAGCATGTTGTACCATCAACAGTGAGACCAGTTCTGTGCTTGGAGGAACAGATTACTACTGAGAAGACTCATGTTTTCTCTCTTGTATGACCAATCTCTTACCTTAGTTTAAAAAACAGCCTGAAGGATACTTCCCCCCCCCTTCTCTAACTATTTGTTCTTCTCTATTGCCTTACATCCTGCTGTATTTTTATTGGTCTCTATTAAAGAAAACTTGGAAGCAAAAATGGTTAAGTTGGCAGCTTACTCAAGGGGACAAAACACAGAGCCAAGAGCTTGGACTGCATGAGTTTTAATCTTAACTCCGACACAGATTGTCACCATGCCCAAGTACCGTGCATGCTCAATGCCACAGCTACAAAGTGGCCCAGACAGACTTCTGACCCACAGAATCAAAACTGCAAAATTCTGAATGAGTGTACCTTGCAAGCTGGCCAAATACATTCCCAGATTTGGTTATGTTTCAAATTTAACAGGTTGGCTTTCGCTCATTCTTGAAACAGATTAGAGGATCTACTCTAAACAAGATCTACAGCCAGCACAAGAATTTCCCCAAGAGCAGCTCTCCAATCTGCCTTACCTTCTACCGCCTGGGAATTAGGACAGCATCCAGCCCCACTGGCACACTGCTCCCGTAGGGAGGATACCAGCCCCTCCAGCTCCTCTAGTCTGCTCAGCAGATCCTTAATGTCTGGGGCAGCTGCACAGCCACAAGCCCGGCGGGGAATGTTAATACGGTGCGTGAAGACAATCTGGTTCCCCTCATTCACTGTGTGCTCCTCGTAATTCTTGACAGGCTCAATTTCTGCCTTCAGGTCTGCATCACCGCTCGTTGTATCCAGGTCCACAGAGCAAAGGGAGCCAACAGGCAACTTAATGTTGTAGACATGGTTAAAAACCACAGGTTGATTATCCTCTGGCAAGGTCACATTTAGCCCAGCTTCCCGCTTCTGCCGGATAATTCGCTTGATGAGTCCACCATTGACATGCTGGTACAGCAAAGCTAAGATTGTACAGGCCAAAACCTGCGTGAGAAGTCCCATTGTGGCGTTCAGTTCCTTTTCAAAGCTGGTGGAGTCGTATATATGTTTGGCCTTTGTAGTCTGGAGCAGAAATTGGAGTACTAGTTCAATCCAAGTCAAATATCCTTTTCTTTCCTGGGACACTTGTTCCCTAAAAAAAAAAAAGGAGTAGTGTAAGGGAGGAACCACAGCTACACCACCCAACAAAAGGTCTGGCATCCTGAAAGAACATGACTGGAGGTGCTACTCAGTGTATGATCTCACTTCACTCAAGCTGCTGAGCTTGCTCTTCTATATAATAACAGTGCATTAACTTTTGTCCCAGGATTCCAATGTGCTTATGAACAAAACGTCGCAAGACATGAATCTTGAAGGAAGTTACCGTTATTTCCAATTTAGAGCAAGTACAGTGGAGTGTGGGAGGTTTAACTGCCTCAAGCAGAAGACCAGGGCAAAGAAACCTGCTGAGCCTCATCTCAGCTGAAAACACTATTTTCAGACAGAGGTAGGTAAAGTAAATCTATGTTCTGTTGTGATCCAACTAAAGTTAAAAATCTGTATTTTCTTCACCCATTAGTCCCCTGCTTGAAGGCTACTGAAGGTGGGATGATGTAAGAAACTTGAGACTTTTTCAAAAGGCATATCAACACAACTAAGCTCATTGCAGCCCTCTTCCATATGCTTTAAATTATTGGAGTTCCTTGGGAACGTGAACTCCAGGGCTTGTAGCGCAATGCTAATTTTTGCTATACTGATCTTTTGTCTACAGTATGAAGATAAATGGAGCTCCCTGGAGAACACTGCAGGTTGAAGGTTCTGGTGTCAGAGCTTGTGTCATAGGTATCAATATTTTAGTGTAGAAGTAGTGAGACACAACAGAACAAGAGAGACACACAGTAAAAAACAGCAATAGAAATACACGTGTGTACACACACAAAAAAGGGAGAGGATGAGAAGGAAAAGAAATCCTTTGATCATCTAAGTCCTTCAGGAAAGAGAGAAAGCTTTACATCAATGCAGGTGTAAAAAAGTCATTTTAGCAACCTATTCACATTTTCATTAAGCAACATTTCCCACTGTCTGATCTTTCATCAGCCATAATACAATAGCTCGCTTATGGTTACAAGCCCATCTGGGCTGTACTAGCTCTTCCTGAAACTCATTCTTTTCAATTAGCTTCAATATTTCCTCTTCCTCATCAATCTCTACCTGTTCCTTTCAAATGATAGAAGCCAGAGGAGCTGAAAGACATCTATTGACTTCCATGCAGAATCAACAGAATCAGCAGTACAGTAAGAACCAAAAGCATCTAACGCACTGACCAAACAAGTGCACCTAATAAATGTCATCTTAGCATTTGTTTTCCTTTCGACTCCCAGAAAACCTTGGTTAAGCGGTTAACTCGGTGTTGTAAGCTAATGAAATGCCAGTAGTGGAGGAAAAAGCAATTTATTCTCTAAACAGCACGGTTTTGATGTAATTCATTTGTCAGATGCAAGACTAGCTTCTTCCACCCTTCTGCTTCCTCCAAAATGTAGAGATCATTTTTTTTCCCCATGCTATCCCAGCTGCTTTTGTGAAAGAATGACAATAATACATCAAACCCTGTACTGAAGTTAATTGTTTTGTAGACAATATTGAACTCACAAAGAGTGAACTTCATCCCTTTTTGTTGGGGCATAAATCAAAAGTAAACAAGCAGCAGTGGAGGCTTTCTTCTTGTCATGCAAAAGCATTCAGCTTTAAACCATTTCTGACACTTAACCCATTTGTTCAAACACATCTGCAACCCCTTGTCTGCACCAGAAGAGATCACAAGGTATCTAATAAAGAATAACATAGACAGACATGGTCCAAGTCTCCTTTGTGACTCAGGCCAACCCCTAAACTGGGTTGCCAGTTCAGGAAACATATTCAGAACAGTATTTGAAGTGGGATTTTACTCTCAAGCACTCCCACTTGGGGTTTATAAATTGCTTTCCATGCAATGAATTCCACGTGCTATATATTTTTTGCCCTGAGACAAGGTCATATGGCTAAAATTGGTGTCTAATCCTCAAGTAGTTATTTTAGGGATAGGCTATTTGACAGATGCAACACTAATGAAAAATGGACCAAACTGGAAGCAACTCTGCATCTAATTCTCACTGAATTTTAGTGAAAGTCAAGCATCAATTTCCTTATGGCTTTCATAACTCCCAACATATAAGAACATATGCCTTGCCCAAACCAAGAAAATTGTCATTTTTTTCTGTTCACTAACATGACTTCACATATCATTTTATGATGATACAAACTGTGATTTTTTAAATACTCCTGGAAAATGAAAAACTTGCTTCTGACAAGAGCCACTGTCACTGTTACCTTTACTATTGATGAAAACCACATGAACACCATTACTTTTACTGGATACTCATTGCATTAGAGTCAGCCAAACCTCTCAGCCTACAGATGATACTGGAAGACTTAACGTATCTTGGCTGACATCCTTTTGAAGTTTATGAGGAAGCATTCCCCAGTGTCTGTTCTGTGACCTCTGTGTCTTGACACCTAGTGCGATGTCTGAGTTAATTCAGTTCAGGTGTTTCTGATCTGCCAAGGACCCAGCATGACTAGCTGAGCTCCACTCCGCAGTCTTGAGATCTCCAAAACAAGACACCTTCATACAATTATTTATACATTAGCCTTATTTTTGGCTGGAAGAACAAAGATGACATCCTTCTCTCTAACTCCCATTTCTCAAACATATCTAAACAGCATCTCAGACCACAATGGACCACCCAGGATCAGGCTGTTCTAGGGAGAAATGGAAGCCACAGCAACTATCAGGCTCTGTTGTTCCTTCGTTTTTCCCCCATCTTCTTCCCTTCAGAGCAGTTCATGTAGATTGTATTTTAAACCTGCCTCTTGGAGACATCCCCTCTGTTTTTTTTACAGACATCAGCTGCTAGATTATTTACAGGCACCTTGTCTTGCAGCAAGAGTTTACAAAAGAAGATGACCCTTCTCCCCATGACTTTGGCCTTGCTGTAATGCCCATGAAAGGAGCTGAGCCATGTTTGTAGCATCTCTCTCAGGTATGTTGAGAGACTTGTATGACCAAGAACATGGCAATTTTTTACAAGCAGTTTGTCTAATATGGAATATTACTCATCTTTATGAACTGTACCGCTCATGCCTTCCTGAAAGTTTGGAATTTCTGCAAGGAAAGTTGGGTTCAAGTTCCAATCAGAAAAGTATGAAGATAATATACATTTTTTCAACCCAGACACAGGCTAAACTGGCTTTCTCCTCTCTACTCCTCTGTCTTGACTAGCTCAAAGCATGTTACTATTCACCTTAGAGTTTTTTTGGTCTATTAACAAAAATAGAAACTACGAATTAAGAAGCTAATTGTGGCATCTCTGCAATATCAGTTGACATAGAAAAAGGTCTCAGGAAAAAGAAATAATTCTTGTCTTGTATAAACACTGACTGTAAATGTTAGATGCTACTCAAAGAGAAAAAAAAAAGAGATCATTCCTAGAAAAACACTCCTTAAAAATCTGATCACTAACTAGTAATACTCTTAATAATAGGTGGTGGAATTAAGATGGACTGTCAATAGCACAAAGGAAAGGAATAATTTTCATTTCCACTGCAGCCCTTTCATCTGAGAATCTTAAAGCACATCATAGCTGAGCTGTCAAAACCTAAAAAATTGTTAGGCGTATTTTTTTGTTTAAACATCCCTTCTGTCCACTGCCTGAGATCAGAACCTTTTCAGAACCTTTCCATTTAATTAGAAATTTGTTTTTTAATAGGAAATTTTCAGTCTATCTTGAAAAAACCCCAGGAATCCTGACTCCTGGGGAATACTAAGCAAAAGTAATGCATGACTATTTTCCTTCCCCAAAAGACATATTTGCTGGAAACCAGCAGGTGTGAGAAACTAAATTAATGTTTGCATAGTTTAAAGTTCTAGTGCAGCCTCTCTTGCAAATTCAGGAGTGGCAGAGTTGTGAGATGATTTGTGGGTACGTGGAGTGATAAATATGCAACTGAGAACTCCGTGCGATTTTAATCAAAACAGATTGCAGCAATGAAGAACTGGAGGTGTTAAAAAGTATCTCAGCTGTCCTTCTTAAAGGAGGCAGAAGGCTGATTAGATTTGCTCAGACACCCTCTACATGTGATGACTTGGAAATTAGACTTAAAGAAGGCAAGAAAAAAAGAAAACAAAAAACAGACAACAAAGGAAACAATTCCTCTCTAAACAGATGCTTCCAACATTACAGCAGGAGGCATCAATATTGTCAGCATGTACTGGATTCAAGCACATCTTGGTAAAATCTGCATAAAAGTAGCAATGGGCTGGATTCTGACGGACAGGAAGACTCATTTGGAGAAAAGCCATAGCCCTCTACAGAAAAAAAAAAATAAATAAAAAAAATGGTGCATTTTGAGGTTTGTTGCTAACCCAAAAATACTTTTCTGTGATCTATTAACTGAAGAAACTTCATGTTTCAAGAATTTCCACCAAGGCATGATCTGGCCATCTGTTCCCTCAAGACTGTGGTATCCAGCAGTGCACGTGTACAGGCACTGGCATCATGATATCATAGTGCTCTTCTCTTTATCTATGGCCATACAGACAAAAAAACCACATTAGGAATTTGATCTGACCTGGAATACTCCCTCTTTGCAGACACGGGGAATTTGTGCATTTTCTACAAGGGATATAAGCAGTACTACTACAGAGGATTAATATGTTGAAACTGTCTGCCAGGGTGTGTTTTTACAAGGCAAGGCTTCAAAAGATGCAATGTTTGAAAGAAAAAGTACTAATGTAGCTTTGCCAAGAGCATGTGACTCTTGAGGCTCCAGGCATCTTCTCAAACACAGATGGATTAAGTCTGAATTAAATTGAAATGTTCTTAAAAGAAAGAGACTGGGAGTGGGGCTGAAAGTTTTGACACGACAGGCCAAAACACGAACAGTTCTGACTTCATCATCTTTCACTGCTGTTTCCATACATTCAT